ATGATTGAACAGGACGGTCGCCACCGGATGGCAGCCAGACGTTAAAAGCCATCTAACGAAACTAAATGCACACAGAAGGTGAATAGTTACGGGCTGAGGGCGCGCACGCAGACGTCACGAGACATGAGTGGGCACTGGACAGCGGCGCTGGCACTGGACTGCATTCCGGACTAAACTACCTAAACCGAACTGAAGTGCATCCGGACACTGCATGCTGGGCGAATAGCGATGCAAACGGTACCGGACGGAGGAAGGACGGGGCAAAGACGGCACCGGACGGAGTAAAGACGGCACCGGACGGAGAAAAGGACGGAGCAAAGACGGCACCGGACGAACTGGACCTAGTGTACCGAGCCAGATCGGATGGATCGTTGGCCCAGACCGGATGGGTGAACCGGACGGCGGTTAGACATCGCCGAAACTGACCGGAAATCAGTCACGGATGAGGGGATGGTGGCCAGTTGAGTGAGACAGAGTGACCAAGAAGCGATAGAAGATAATTTGGTGACAGTCAAGTGATAGCCATGACGTGACAGAGCAATGGTAGACACGCGATGATGCCGTTGCTAACGACACGCAACTAGAAAAATGAATTTGTGTTGGCTATTCGGTGAATGCATGGCAGAGGAAATTATTCGGCTGAACCAAAAATCCCAAAGGCGTGCACACCGGTCAAAGCTCCCTCTTTGTTCGGTCCGCCTTTACTCGTGAGCATACATCTCGACTCGCAGCAGCCTCCACGTCTTGCTTATCCCCTTACATCCCACCTCTGCTCTGCCCACTGTATGCTGCAGCATGGCTGGTGCACGCCCTTAGGCCACCACAGAAGAGCGATCGCAGTGAATCAGCGTCTCTCACACTATGACTCACGACGTGTGTCATAGACGAAGGCCGGCTGCTCTGGTTTGGCAGACTAGGGGATCGAGCAGACTCTATGACTGGCAGTTAGGTGTCGTGAAGTTAAGGCCGTGGTGAATTATCGGGGCGAGGTCACTTACCCCACAGTGTGCGCCATATGGCCGGACCGTGTGCACGGCTACCGCCATTACCTGCCTCGTTCGGGACGGAGGTCGCCTTTTTGCGAGCCAGGGTCGTGGCGGCATAGCCATTGTGCGTGGCCGATCGGCGGTACGATCCGCCGGGCCGCAGCAGTCACCGCCATCTGGGGTAGGGCACGCGAGTGTGACCCGCTGGTCCATGCACTCTGGTGCAGAAGACAGGTCAATTTCCCGCTGTTCTGTCTTGGTCGGCCTGAATGCGAGTGGTGACCCAAGGCTGTGGACCAAGCGGAAGAAAGACGGCTGGACTCATGCTGGCTTATCGCAAAAGGGTCGCTCCCCTTCCAGTCCTTCCCCAGTCCAAGGCATCTGTCGTGATAAATCTATAGAGGTTCTTTTCTCGGTGACCTAGCCTCCAGAGTAAGGTCACCTGCGAGTCCCAGGAACGTTCTGCTTCTGGCCCACAATGACGTCATGGCTCCCACCCACTCACCGGCCGCCAGTGCCCAGTCGACAGGTCAATCAACCCGGCCGTCGCCACCACCATGGCTGGCCGCCGCCCGCTCCCATCGTGGTCGGTAGTTATCCGAGCATTGTCTGTGTGAAGCCGGCGCACAATGCCCCGGATAGGGCACCGTAAAACACTGCAGAACTAAATTTTGATTAAGTCACTGCCGAAACAAACAGCGTTAGAACGATGTTGATTGCTGACAGCAGCATGTTTTCATGCAGGACGTTGAACGACTCAATACACTTCGTGCTCGGCTGTGATTTGGTGGGCGTACAAAAAGGAACCACTGAAAGTCACGGTTGAGCGCCACGACCCCCGGAACTGCCTCTGTGCGCCTTCCGTGGCCCAACAAAGTAAATCTCTCAACAATGAGCAGACGTGCGGAGCGCCTCGGTCGTGTCCTTGGCTGGGCTGAGCGCAGGTCGTGCTCTCTGAGCGTGCAGCTCCATCCGACTTAGAACGGCTCCGCTCCGGTCGCCCATTTATTTTACCGAACAGTGAGGAGCGGCGCGAGCCTCTTCGGTGAACGCCCTCTCGTTTCGTGTCTCTACGGCACCGAATGAACGGGGCGGAGCTCTCTCGCCTGGTTGATATTGACCAACTGGTCGGCAACTCCTTGCCCCACCCCTGCTGGCCATTGTCATCTACGAGAGTTCCTGTCACCACCGCCCCGCTTTGTTCTTTCGCCCGCGCTAAGGGGCCAAGGATACGCGTATGTCTCAACCGGGGTCGCACATGCAGCAAGACGTCGCTAACCGTCTAAACGTGACAGTGTTGAATGTGGGCCACGATGAAACACAGATGTACGATTTATGTCCGTCTGTAGACTGCTGGTGTCATCATTCTCGTTATCGGCTTAAGAACAGAAGATTGATGGCTCGGCCGCCGAGATAATGCTCCGACTCCGACCGGTTCATCCGTCAGTGCAAGGTCACTGCCGGATTTCATTACGATGTAGTTTTTCGGCCATCCCATGGCGAGCCCTAATGATGCTTCTCGGCCGGGGAGTGCTCCCATTAAGGTGTTTCATCAGTCGTTCTGCTATGGCAACATTCACTTAACGGCCCATCTTGTTACGGTGTCGGTCCGAAATATCCCATAAGCGGCGTCGTTTGAAGTCTGCTGCCTCTCTCCGCTACTGATGTGGCGTCACAAACCCCTCCAGCACCTCAGACCGTCACAGGCCGTCACCGGCCGTCACGGCGGCGTCTGGAGCCGCGGCGGTGTCGTAAATGGCGCGGTGGCGTGACAGACCTGGGCTGCCGACGGTCGACCGGTGACAGTGCACGAAGGCGGCTCACCGTCAGCTGACGACTTCCGGCAAAAATGAATAACTTCCCCGATATGCCGTAACTGCCGAGTCGTGCCTGCCGCTAACGGCAATGGAAGGCAATGTGTTGGCTTGTGTTCGCTGACTTCTGATAGCAGCCTGGAGGTAATGGCTTCTGTATGGGGTACGGTACTTAGGACGATGAACTCTGCTGAGTGCTGTCAACGGTCAACTGTTGACTGGTTACATTGACAGTGTGACAGTGACAGTGACACTCGACAGTCTGATAGTCTGACAGGGTGACAGTTTGACCGTGGAGACCGTCACAGTCGGCAAACTGTCAGCTACGTGACTACTGTCGGCTAGCCCCCGTCTATTGAGGCCTATCCGCTCTACGAGTCGACTTGCTCCACCTGACCATCCGCCGGGTTTGACAGTCAACCAGTCCTGCCGTCCGTTGGGCGACTTCGACCCCCGACGTCAATTCTGGCCCGTTCACGCGTGGTGCCGGCTGACCGGCGCTACCCCAGCTCCGGCCGGCCAGGTGCGGCAGCGGAGGTGGCGGAGGCGGGCGGCGGACACGGTCTTTACCAATTACCGCGCTGCCGTGGGGGCCGGCCCGCTTCCGGCCGCCGAGCGGCGCCGAGCGGCGAGCACGGACGGGGAGAGAGGGGAGCCGAGCCATAGTTCAGAGACGCCGACTGCCCACGGCACGGCCAGACCCTCGCCCTTAGTCGGCTTAAACGGTGGAGATCATTCAGATAATTAATGGTAACGCCCGGGGGGAGCCTGGTGAAGGTTATACAGGTCCATGTAATTTGCCCAGATGATTCCGCTTGTGGCGAAGCGTGCCGGCTGTGAGTCTCGTTCTTTCACAATGTCAGTCGTGAGTAGCATAAATCAGGGCAGCGTGCGGTGTAACGCCTGAATTCAGTGGCGTCGAGGCCAGAGCCGAGTGTGGCTGTCGTGGCCCTTCACCAGTCGACATACAAACAGCGACACACAAACAGCCCGTTCACAAACAGTCGGCGCACAAACAGTCGGCACAAACAACCCTGTCGCTCTGTCATCGCCAAACAAAGTGGCCGTAATGCTACAGCGCGTCTCGCCGAGCCTGTGCGCTGCGGACCGCCCACCACTGGGTGGACACTCACTGTCCTAATCACTCTATAACGACCAAATGAAGCGTGCAAGGCGCTGTGGTTCGACGACTGCCGTCAGAAGCCGTTTTGTCCCTGTACCGGTGCTGCGACATAACTTCTTACATCGCCACCGAGGCACGCGCGGGTACAGCCCAGTTCGCAGCGCTCCCAACCTCCCACCTCCGCGCCGGAGAAAGCGTGAGGCTTCTGTGCGGCGCGACCCGTTCCACGGCCGGGTCGTGACCCATCGGGTGACCCGGGTGACCTGGCTGACCCGAACAGCCCACGACAGGCGGACGGCTGCCGTGCGCGCGGTGGCGGACAGGACGGTCGGGGCTGGTAAGGCGGTCACCGACGGTCGCGGCAGGCTGGCTGAAAGCGGGGCGTTTCCGGCGCAGTTTGGCGCGCCGTGACTGTCGCAGCGCGCCCCTATCTGGCCCGGCACACGCCCCGTGCGGCGATTATAAGCGGCCCAGTTTTTGTCTTGAAACGCACGTGCTGTCATGTGGCACTTTCCGGTGGGGTGAGGGTCAGTGAGACCTTACAATTGCAGTCGGCGTGGAGGGACAGATAAGGGCACGTTTAACAAATGGGACCGTATCTAACACTGATACGCATTTCAAGTCTCGCTATTGTTACACTGTCAGTTACACTTTTTGTTGTTGTAACCTCTAAATTCAAGAGCAGCATAGTTATTTTTGGTAATGCAGACATTCGCTTGAGAAGGCCTGGGTCCCGCAGACATAGAAATCAGAAATAATTACGCCCGTACACAATCTTCGACATGTCGAAGCATTCAGGTACGACAGGCCAGTTCGGGCAATTGAATTTGACATACATTCCGTAGCACCAGCGCTCCTGACCGAGGCGCACCAACCCAGTTGTCACAGGCCATCACGCCCGTGACGGCGTCACAGCGGCACAGCTGTCACCCGTCACTGTGTCATGGCAATCATCGCGACCAGTCACTCGCCTCCGCCCCCGTCCCGTCCGTCCGTCCGCCCGTCTGTTTGTTCGTCGCCGAGTGGTGCCCTCACGGAGTCGCCGCCTGGCGCCGCTCCATTCAGTCGGCACGGGCCCCTGCCGCGTCGCGCTGCGCGCACAAACACTGCTCGACGCCGGCCGGTGTGTGTGTGTGCCGCTCGCTGTGACGGCGTGTGGCGTTGTGACTGTGTGACGTTGAGAAGTGTGACGGTTGGCTAGATCGTGCCGAAGGAGGCAGGTGTGTGGGATTGCGATCCTGACACCCACTCGCTGAGTGTATCTCCAACAAGTCCTGATCGGAGCGGCGAGCCAGCCTTGGCTCGGAACACGCAGCGGGAAGAGGGAGGGAGAAGGCCGTGACGCCCTAGGAAGAAAGTCCGGGTGGAGCAGAGCTACTCCATCACCGATATCAGGTCAGCACGGCGCCCCAGCACGCTCGCCCCGTGATCCCAGGGTCACGCGGACCGTGACCTCGGCTCCGAGCCACCGGGTCATCTCACCGCCACACCATGACTGCTCCATGGCGGCTTCAGGGCCGATCGGAGACCGCATATCCTGTCTCCACCTGGCTGTTTGACTGTCCTATACGGCTGCATTCGAGCTCCAGTGTCTGAGTGGAGCCACCCTTTTCCCACCCACTTCCCCCACTACAGTCTCACAAGTGCTCCTTTCATTGACAACCTCTTGTCCGCCCATCCTACTTAGTTTTCTTCACTTAGTTACCATGTCCCCTGCTTTCCATTGCCCCTCTCACGCTCTAATGGCTATTCTTCAGTCAGCTCTCCTCTCAGAAGCATCCTCCATCGGTCGATTCGGGGCCTCATTGTCCACCTTCATTCACAATAGCCGTCAAACGATCGCGCTCTTATACCGGACAACCGAAAGCCGTTAGACCATCAGGCCCAGCTGCCGCCGTCCGCCACTCGTCGAGACCGTGTGATGTCGTTAGATGGCGCAAACCGTTTTCAGTAGGGTCACTGGTCGCACAGGTAGGGTGATGAAGCTCATCAGAGGTGGCTTGGAGCGGACTGACACATGAGAGAATTGTTTCATAAAAGGGTGTTCTGGAGGTCAAAACAGGGCGACTCTTGAAGGGTGGCCGGAAACTGAATAAGTCTACATGGTCTACACACAAAAAAGATTGTAGCAAATTGGCATTTAAATTCAAAAGTGTGCTTAAAACCTGCATAAGGCAGACGAAACGGGACTCTATTTTGCTCGTGTGCATTTGTAAGAAGGCAGAAATATTTCTGGGAGCTCAAGTAGCTATAGGTAAATGCGGAATTCCGCGGAAAACGCTGATCCGCTTTTAGCGCTGTGGAAGAGGGCGGATAAATCTGGCAGAGCATTCATTTTGCCTAAATGCTTGCATTGATGAATCGAAGGGAATTAGTGGATGAATGGAACGGCAATGGCCATATATCGAAAAAGAGAGCCTTTATCTGTTCATAATTCATACTCAGATGGTCATAGCAAGGCTAGCTGTCGATGGGAGGATTGTGTAAGCACCGAACAACGAAGGTCGGTTTATGATAGAGGTGACTGTCGGACTCTCGGTATGGTCACTCATTCCCTTTAGTTTTCAGTTCTCCCGTGTGCCGTGCCCGCCGTGATATCCTCCTCTCTGACCATGACAGGTGCAGCTCACCTGCAAAGCCTATCCGGTTTGACCGCCGCACTGAACGAACCAGGGATTTGTGGACAATACTTTCACTTCCCAAAGACGCTTTCCTTTTCACTGGTGGAGCCGGAGATGGTATTACTCAGCAGAGCACAACTGCAGCCGCCACTGCTTATCTCCTGCACTTCTTCTAAAAACAGCCGGGCGGACAGCGCTGTTCCTTGCAGCATCCCCGCCCCGACGGGCTGATGGTGATCGGGTACGCGATCTGGCGGAGGAGATATTGTCGTCGGCCCGGTTTATCTCTGATGATATCGCCCGCTTAGAGATGACACACTGTCATGTATGTACTGTCACTCGTGACACATGATGACGTCATTAGCCTGGTGCTGAACTCTGCAGAATCAGCTGACTTCGCCACAGCTGTGGAAACGTGCCCTCAGCTGGGCGAACATTTAGCTTACAAACATCGCGGCGCAATACCGATGTGTGCCGTTTTATGGATAAAACATATACTATCCGTTTTAAACAAGCTATATAGAATAGATAGCAATTTTGTTACCTATTTAGTCATAAAAGCAATTACATGAATATTCCAAACCACGACGGATGGCTTTATTTGTCATGTACCATAGCAACGTCAGCGAATTTCAGAACAGTTGTTTTATTCCTATGTCTTCCTCTTAGCTACAATGGCGACGCCAGACGTGTACCATTTAATTTTATCCTCGGCGCCAATGATCAAATTAGCCTATTATTACCATTTGGAATGGGAAACATCCCACACGGTGAAACGTTTATTGCCGGGTCTAATTAGCGTGTGAGTGGTGAGGGTTGCCGCTTTACGGGGCGGGTATAGTTCCACCCCGAAGGAACCACTCTTCCCTTACAGCTTTTTAAATAAAGTATATGATTTTTATTAAAAATGTTTGTCTTTAAAATCTATATTTTATTATGTCCCTGCCGATCACTTATGCGACTGAAGTAAACATGACCTCAGAGGCTTTGTCTAAGGATGATCAACAGCGTAATCCTAGTTAGTTAACATTCTAATAGTTGCATGTCCGTTACGACTATCCGTTACCGTTACGACTAGTAGATCCGATATAATGCCGTTTCCCGTAAATACAGAGAAGTAAAAAATATTGCCCACTTCTGCTCCTACTTACTGATGGGAAAGTTAACTTATTGCTCAACATCCGAAAGGATTATTTTTAACATCAGATCAGTTCCCGTTGTGGTGATGATTGCACTCAAACCTTGTCGATGCTGCATCTCGCACTATGTTTTCGAAAGTGAAAAGGCGCCTCAAACAATTATAAGGGCAAGTGAGATTAACCCTAGAACGCCTAGGGGGGGGGGGTTGTATCAACCCCCCCCCCCTGAGGTTTTTTCGAAGTGCACGCTAAACGGCTTGTCGTAGCGGGCTGAAATTTTCAATAACCTCTGGGGCAACCTTTGCGCATCTTTTGCCGAAAAAAAATTGATCGGGTCATGTCAGGTCACGGAGTTATGACGTCATAAGAGGTACAGCCTCCGGCCGACAGTTACCAAACGTGTGCGCCGAATCCCTAGGTTTTCTGCCGGTGATACCCACATTGTTTGATGGATCATGATGAAACTTCCCATGCATGTTGGGGCAAGCATTGGCTATCGTGTGGTGCAAGAAAATTGACCGGGTCAGGTCAGGTCACGGAGCTATGACGTCACAAGAGGAACAGCGTCCGGTACTATTTTTGAAAAGCGCCCGAACCACTATTTTGCTAATTCTTGTCACCTCAATGGGAATATGCAGCAATATTAGCTTCTATAGGGAGCAAATGGACCTCCCAAATCCAAAAATACAATCAGATTTCAAAAATTTAAATTTTGATTTTTCGAATTTCTGCCGCCGACTGTGACCTTCCCGATTTCCGGCGCTTCCAACGCGCCATTTTTAGAGCTAGGGAAACGAAATACATACCAAACGATAGAGAATTGATCAAGGAACACGATAGTGAAGGTTTCAAGTCGATATCTTCCACCGTTTTGCCGCCATCGCCGCGGAAAGTTGAAAAAGTTTGATTTTTTCGGAAAATCTGACCTTTGATCGGTCATAAGTAGGTCAAATGTTGACCTAGGACCAAAAAATATACCACCAATCGGGAGATCTCGTTGAGAGCAATCCGTTGGTTTTTTCCGCTAAGCTCTACGACCTTCCGTTTCGAAACGCCAGGGGGGGTCGTAACAACCCCCCCCCCCCTCTGGTCGTTCGTGTTATGAGAAATGGCCTGGTCGTGCGAGGGTTAAAACACTAAAAAACTTATCTGCTAGTGAAAGTCAAACAACCAGTCGCGATTGCAGAATTGTGTCCAGCGGATTTGGACATGAGAGAGCTGCACTGGCGGCCGTGAATCGTGATGACTGGACCGGTATCAACCCCTCCGCCTAGCTCTCGGTCTCACAGTCTCCGCTCGGCCCTGTGACGACTGGCCATGTGACGGCGGGTGGACGGAAGGCGGGCCTGGGTAACGGCGGACGGCGGACGGCGGGCTGGGCAGCGAACGGCGGACGGCGGGCTACTCGAGCTGCGGACGGACGGGCGGCGGCTGATTCCACTCGTTCCCACGTGTCACCGTCCATTAGCCGCCGCTGGGCGGAGGCGGAAGCACCGCCTTCCGGCGCCGGCCGACCTCCCGGCCCAGCCGTCGCGTCTGCCGCTATCCGAAGTAGGCTGCGCGAGCTTGTAACGTTCAACTGGCGGTGCACGCCTTACAGCGAAACTACTGCGATAAATCACCGAAGGGGCGGTGCTGTTACGGATTAGGTTTGGTCATGCCGCCCTGCGCTGCACCGCTCGGTGATGCTCTATGGTTTCAAGGTTCAACTGATCCTTTTCACCAAGCGGATCAATTGTCAGAATAATCCACTCTTCGATCATATTTCTAGCATGCATATATGTGCGATATCCCTTGACCACAGGGCACAGAGTGTAAACACTCCGTCTGGCTGGGTGATGATATTTAATCCTGCATTGATATGATAAGGGATCAATCCTCAGTCCTCACCGACTCTCAGTACCCACTGACTAATAGCCCTGAGCGCAGAGGCGGTGGCAGCGGCGGCGTCACCTTTCGCGTGGGAGCGCCAAATAGCCTCAGGGTCCACGTCTGCGCGTCTCGGGACACCGCTAATTGCCTGGTGCCCGAGGGAAGTTTGTATGTCCTACTACTCGGCCACTCACTCGTACAACATCCATCGCCACCGCTGCCGACAACAAAGAGAACAATGTAGCGGCGTCTGAGGAGCGGTACAGCGGGCCAGGTGGTTTGATTGGATGAGCGTAGGATCGCACACGGTGGGCCATTAGGGCCGATCGGACGGTCCCACGCGGCCCACCGGGCGATGGAGGTCGCTGGTCGACCGTGGCGGCCGGAGCTGGAGCTGGAGTCGTTGGGGTTGGGGTTGGATATGGAGCTGCTGGGGCAGAGGAAACTTCCGGGGCCGAAGCAGCTCCAGGGGATGCTGGGTTGTCACTTGCCAGGGCTAAGGCTAACACAGTACACGAGACCTGTTCGGGCCACTGGGGCCCGGCTGAGCTAGCCGCATTTGCTGCTAGGGATATGATATATGGAGCAGCTGTACTCAAGGGGCTCGAATTGGGGCATTTCAGAGGCTGTAGGACTCCGAGTCGCACTAAAAATGGATGTGGTGCAGAGGTTGATGGGGTGAGACTTCTCCGAAACTGCGGGGGTTGCCGGGACTGTACTTGGCTCGTCACCAACGCGCATTGACGTCGTCTGATAAGATATG